ACGGGTGCAGAGTAGAACCTCCCAGCACCCCCGCTCAGACACACAGGCGCAGAGTAGAACCTCCCAGCCCCCCCTGCTCAGACACACGGGTGCAGAGTAGAACCTCCCAGCACCCCCGCTCAGACACACGGGCGCAGAGTAGAACCTCCCAGCCCCCCCTGCTCAGACACACGGGTGCAGAGTAGAACCTCCCAGGCCCCAGTGATGCAGAGCACGGGCTCAGCCGCGTCTGCGCTTTCAGCCTCCCCCACAGGCAGCACCAAATGACCCTTTGGCACAGGCTTGGGACTTCCTCCCTGGGCCAGGAGGAGCCGTGGCCAGTCCCTTGGGCCTGGTAACTCCCACACATCCAGTCTCATCCTGCACAGACGTTATGACATGGCCAGGGAACACTGGCCAGCATGGGGAGCCAGAGCCCAGCAGGGGGAGCCAGAGCATGAAGTGAGCCAGCCAACTGCTGCAGCTGCTCCTCCTCGCCAGGCTGGCTCTAGCAGAAGGCCTAGGTCCCCACATGCTGGCGGAGAAGAGGTCACCACCCCTGTGCCCGCTTCCTCTCTACCACACCTGCTCTCCCCTAGAAGCGGAACAGGCCACAAGGAAATGGGGCGGGGAATGGCTGCAAGGGGGCGAGAAGCGGTTATGGGCAGTGCCCTGGTGGAGCCTGGTGAGCACCAGCCTGATTCCTCCCCAGAGCGCGCGCACGCTCCCCCCACCGCCCAGCACTCACATGGGGAAACCACCAATCCAAACCCCAGAGCAGACTGGATACGACATGCCCATCTGCCATTCTATTAACACTCCCTTCCCCCTCCCCCTTCTGTACAGGAGCAGGGTGACTGACTACTGCCAAGTGTCATGTCTGCTACCCGTTGGCACCTCTATGGAAGCCTCTGGTCTCTTTTCCAGGTAAGTCTCTGGTTTTCTGTGTGCTGCTCCGCGCCCGCGCCTGCGCGGTTTCTAGTACTTTAGGCACAAGTCTAAATGGCTGGTGCCCATTTGGCTGCCACGGTCTGAGATTTCAGAGCCAACCAATGATCTCTGGGACCCCAATACTCCTGAGCCGGAAAGATGTACTCACGTTGCCAGGACGTCAGAGGGTCGCTCACTGTCTGACACGGCCACCCCCCTCTCCTCAATCACACACGGATGTCAATGCCACGTCTGTACCAAGGCAATTGGCTTGCAAACGCAGCCTTTTAAAACAAGCCCCTTTTCAGAGGGCACACGACTTCTCCCATCTCTGTCCCTCCCCCCTTTCCTGACATCAGCATCTGCTACCCGCCTAGCCTCACCCTTCCTCAACCCCCTCCCCTGGCCTCCTTCCAAGCCCAAATGCGGAGACGGCAGGTTCTTGGGGCTCCCCTTCCATTCCCATTGGCTCTTCCGCACACAGTAGCCCCGTAGCCTCAGCAGAGGCAGCAGGAACAGAGAGTTGGTGGAGGGGCCCAGCCACTCCGGGGCCCTGGGACAAGGCAGAGGCAGTCTCACAGGACCTGGTCTTTCCACCGGCTGTAAGGGAAGGGGGAGGCAGATGGCGCACCGGATGCCAGTGTCCCCCTCTGGCCAGAAAGTGGGGGAAGGCTCTGCAGGACGGTGTGCCACTGGTGATCCCTAATCGGGTGTCTCCTTTCGTCTCAGAGGCTGGACAGCCCCGCTCTCAAAGGAACACCACTGAGTATCTACGAAAGTGCAATTCATTTTTAATTAGAGCTATGCAAACGTCCTGTGGGGACAAAATACCTACCACCTTCAAGAGAGCGGCACACTGAATGACATACACATAAGCAAATCTCTGGAGACCTGAGAGGGTCGTGCCCCCAGATTCATGAGTCTGATCTCAGAGGAGCAGGGCTGCACTACAACGAAACAGAAGAAGAGCATGGATGAGTCTGCCAGTAAGCGACGCTGAACAGCGGGTGGAAGGCCACCACCCCAAACCCGCTCACCTGCCACCGAAGAGGTTAGTTCTCCAACTTGAGCCCCACCCCATCCGGCATGATCACTGCGATAATTTAGCACCTCACACATGATTTCTCTTCACTGCCCACACAAGGGAGGCCAGGACCCCCATGGGACAGATGGGGAACGGTAGCACAATGAGACTAAGGGAATTGCCCAAGATCACACCCACCCCAAACCCGCTCACCTGCCACCGAAGAGGTTAGTTCTCCAACTTGAGCCCCACCCCATCCGGCATGATCACTGCGATAATTTAGCACCTCACACATGATTTCTCTTCACTGCCCACACAAGGGAGGCCAGGACCCCCATGGGACAGATGGGGAACGGTAGCACAATGAGACTAAGGGAATTGCCCAAGATCACACAGGAAGTCTGTGGGAGAAGTGGCAACAGAACTCGGAGCCTCAAACCAGGGCCACCTTAACCACAAAACCATCCTCTCTTGATTATGAAGCATGTTCAGAATTGAAGCGCTAGACAAACGCTCAACCCTTTATTTATTTATGTTTCTTTGGAATGAAGTCTCTGTTCCTCCAAACCCAGAGGGAGAACTTCAGTCTTTTGTGCAGCTTGGAAACAATCCGGGGCCACAAAGAAGCCAACTCAGAAACGTCATGCTGAGCGGTTCTCTACGCAACTGCTCAAAGTACATCAGCCAAATGGAAGAGGCTCAACCTTGCAAGGCAGAAAATGGCTTCCCATTTCCAGGAGTATTTAAACGAAGCAGAGAAGAGGAGAGAAGTTACATCCTCTGGGGAGCAGGATTTCTAGGAATACGTGTAACAATCCTTCACACCAAGCTGCAAACCTGCTTTTAAATTCTCTCAAGCGCATCTGGAAATCAAGATGGAGACAATTTCTCCCTAGACCTAACAAAGGTGGTTCCCTCAGACCATGGTTGGTATCTGCCAGTGAAGCACTTCAGGAGACAAAGCTGATTGAGTGCGGGGAACCCGTGTCTTTCATTTAGGGTGGGGAGAGAAATCAAATTTCTCCAGAGGGAAATTTAGCTCTTGCATGTTTGTGAGGACAAGACCACCTGTGACCAGCAGGTTAGAAATATACTTACTGTCACCAAGGATCAGCTCAACTTCCTCATCTGCATCAGAGTCCTCATCTTCCCCTTCCTCCCCCTCTTCCAGCAGGTTGGCGAGCTCCTCGTCGTCAGAGGGAGAGAAATCATTGTCTCCGTCCTCACCGGCGTTCTCGTTGTTCTCATCCTCCTCCAATTCAGCCTCCAGCAGCTGGTCAGTGTCGAGTTCATCAAGGTCATCTGTATCATCATCATCCTCGTCGTCATCCTCCTCTTCTTGTTCCTCCTCCTCCTGCAGCAAAAGCAAAGGAGCCCGTTAGGACATGCAGTGTATGAGGATACTAATGAGGGGAATGCGTACTGCCCCGAGCCACCCAACAGTATTTGTAAACGCTCTCCTCTGCACCCCTAAATCACAGAGAGAGATGCTAGACTGTCAGCCCTGGAGAAGTACTTTTTACCCATAAGGCTTCTTACACAAACAGCTGTTTCTTGGCAACTGGACCGAGACCATTAATTCACGTCAAACAGGCCAGAGTAACTTGTATTGGTCACTGCTGACTAGGATGAGAATTGAGATCCAGTGAAAGTCTCGGTCATCCCATTACCAAACCATAAGTCACACCATCCTCAGATTAGAAATTCTGTGGAAGTGGCTTAGCAATCACAACACTGACATTTCCTCTGTGAATCACTCTTCATTCTACCAGGGTGCTGAATGAACAGCTTCCAGAGCAGAGAACCATCGGTGGGAATTTCCGTTTGGGTTTAGTGGTGCGATAAAAGTTCTTATTCCGTACATTAAACCCTTTCTAGCCCAAATGCCATTTCTGTAGAAGCCTGGTTTTGAGTGGGATGAGGAGGATAGTGATGCTTAGTGGTCCTTAAATACAATTGAAAGGATACCAGCTGCACCAACAAGTCTTCAAACTTCAGTCCCCTTTTAGGCTATGTCTACATTTCAGGCTTCTTCCGAAAGAGAGCATCCACACTGCGAAAGCACATAGAAAAAACAATCTGCTTTTTCGACAGAGAGCATCCACATTGAATGGACGCTCTCTTGCATGTAAGGCGTCATTACTATGGACAGAGTGCACTTGTGCGTTTTCCTCTTTCCTCTTCTTGCAAAAGAACTCCCTCTTCCCCGTCCACACAAGCCTTTTCCTGAAAGCTCTTTTGGAAAAAGGCTTCTTCCTCGTAGAAAGAGGTTTACCAATGTTGGAAAAAACCCTCTGTTCTTTCGATTTTCTTTCAAAAGAACGTGATTGCAGTGTGGACATAACTAACGTTTTTTCGGAAAGAGACATTTTTCCAAAAAAAAACAAAAAAAAAACCCCTCTGTACTGTAGATATACCCTTAAGTGTTTTTCTAACCTGATGGAATATTTTCACATGGTACTGTAGATATACCCTTAGTGTTTTTGTATCAACCACAAGCCCACCCATGCTCTTCTAACCTGATGGAATATTTTCACATGGCAGGAAAAGCACCTCTGAAGTCATTCAGGCTCACTGGCCCCTGGTTCTGAGGCGCATATGGGACACACCTTGCAAGATTACACAGCAGCTGGGTGAGTATCTGACAGATTCATCAGAGACAGGTACTCAACCCTGCCTCTTGTTGGGGTGCACTCGGATTTTGGACTGTTGCATTTTCAAAGTTGTGCTAAGGGAAGAAAAGTCCCATCTTTCTTTGCCACCCACAACACGCTTTTTTTTAGTCTGTATAAGGCAGGTACATACAAATGGTGTAATGAATAAAAGCAGTAGGCAAATGCTCTCCGAAAGTCTGTGCATCCATAACAAAGGATTACTGAGCTTGCAGCTGGAAATTTAGCAATAGCAGCAAGCCCTGATATTCTATCTGTCCAGTGAGTGTTGTTATTTTTAGATTCATGAAAGGCCTCCAAAGTCTGTCAGTCTCTCTCTCTCTCACTGAAAGTATTTACATACTTTCAAATGGATGGATAAAAATAGATGTTAATAATAAAAAAATCAGATTTTTTTAAATTGAAATACATTTTTCTTTTTCAAAATAAACCTGTTTGAAATTACAGCCTAGGTAAATGCCTACATTTATTATAAATAATTTAAATCAACAACATCCCAATATTTCAACATGCCCTCCTCAGATTTCACTGAGTTAATAGGTGCTGCTTTCATATAAGTATATATAGACTCTCAGGAGGAGATATCTAATTTTTGAGCTCCTCTCAAGTTTATAAACATGTCACAAAGTCTTGTGCTAAATTATGGTTAGTCTTTGTAAATATAAGCATTCACTCAGTTGTATTTTTCTAAAAGTACTTTCAGTTTGTTCCATGGTATTAACCTTAATTATTTTTGGTTTCATAGATGAGAGGTGGATACTTTTTTCATTCATTTGGGTGAATTCAAAATTGAGAAACCAACAGGGAGCTGAAAAAGAAGGAAAGCTTGTTTTCCCTCTTCAAATCTAGGACTACCAATCAAGAAACAGAAGATGACCTCTGCTACTTAAAACAAAAAAAACCACAGAGGCCAGATTTTCAAAGATGTATTAGACAGGTGCCAACCATGAAGCAACACTTTACTTCTACTGATTTCAATTCCAGGTGTTTCAACAGGAGCTGGATACCTAACCTGCTTAAGCATTTTTGGAACTCCCACTAGAAATCGGTCTGCCCTTTTAGGTACCCAAACACCTAAAAATCTGACCCATGGTGATGAGAAACCATCAGTCAATTCACTAACATAACCCTTTAGAGTTCAGGGTGGGCAATAATTGTTGATGGAGGGGCCACTCCAAGATTTTGGTAACTGGTCAAGGGCCGCACTTTTCTGTGGAAGGGGTGAAGGGTCTGGGATGGAGGTTAGGTGCAGAAGGAAGCTCGGAGTAGAGGACTGGGGTGCAAGAGAGGGTGTGGGGTCTGCGAGGGAGTTTGGCTGGCGGAGGGGGTTCACAGCATGCAATGCTTCCCCCTACTTCCAGCACAGAAAGGCAGACGGAGCATCTAGCTGCTCCGAGCCCTGGGGCTGCTCCCTGCCTGTGGGTCCAGTGGGGTGGGCCTCAGGCTGGTCTGATGGCTTGGCGGGCCGGATCCGGCCCCCGGGCAGTATATTGCCACCCCTGCGCTTTAGTTTAATAAATCCGTTTTGAAGCAAAGTATTCATTCGTAAATTTAGTTTTTGTGCATCCAACATATTTAAGGCTGTTTTCTTTAACTATAAACACTTTTAAAATGCTGGTTTTGTACATTTTTCATTGAATTCCATTTTCCAACCAAATGCAGCTTGACACAAAACGTGAGCAAAACACGAGTATTTATTTACTCATCTAGTCAACAACCAGCCTTTTCTAACCCAAAAAAGTGTAAAATTAAGAGTGCGTTGAGCTACTGAATTGTTTCAATGTGTATACAGTTTGTCCTAGAGGTTAGCAAAACGCCAAATATAATGTAAAGGCTACAATTACAACCTAACAGATTTTTATGCTTATGCCAGCTAATGAGAATGAAGGTTTCCTGTTTGCTGATTTCAAAGTCAGCGTGAACTGATTAACACACATAACGGGGCTCTCTCAGCTACACAGAGATCTCCCCAACCCCAATAAGTCAGACTCACTTCTCAAGCCTTCCCTTCAGGCTAATGTCTGAGGAAAGCAACGAGCTTTACACTGCCCCATGAAAGTCGACAAATTCTGCTTGTGATGGACTAATGGAACAGGCTCCAGGGCCAAGCAGCCTGCATGGAGAACATCTTGCATTCAGTCCCCAGATGAACAAGTTCTTTAGGGCAGGCGACAAATACTAAACTATCTGAAAGCATATACAGTATTGTGGTGTCTTATTGGACTAAACTCTGTTAGAGAGAAACATCCAAGATTACCTAGAGAAGCGGATTTCTGTTGCTCCAACAAAATATATTGCCTCCCTTAGCTTGTCTATCTGAAAGTAGATCATCTCAAACTGTGCTCTACCCTTGCCCGCGGGCCACAGAAGGATACACCAATCCATAGAGGGCTAGGATGCTGGGTAGGGTTGTAATTCATGAAAGGAGTGCTGCAAAGGGAGCAACAGCTGGCGAATCTCTGGTCTAAGTGAAAGTGTCCCGTCTGATCTGAGGAAGCAATGCGCCTCAAGAACCAAACCATGCAAAGCTTTAGGCTCAGATTCTTAAAGGGGTCGCTGCACTCAGGGATGGATCATTAAAAGCCTAAATCTCACGTTCAAAACGACTTTAAGCAGTTAAGAACCTAAATCCCATTGACAGTGAATGGGCTTTTGGCTCCTTTGTGCCTAAATCCCTTTTGAACTGAAATTTAAGCATTCAACACTTTATGCAGCAATACCTAGCTGCCTATTAAAACCCATGATTGAAAAGCAGCGCTCCGAGTTGCACACCAAAGCGGGGTATGTCTCTACCCTAGACAACTTTCTGTGACAAGGCCCCATCGCTAAAAGTCAGCACGTGAAAACATGCACTTCTGTGGATTAAATACTTAGCTTTGCCAGCAGGAGAGCTCTCCTGCCAACAAAGCAGCATTCACATTTTTACTTGCAAAGGCAAAACTTTTTGTTTATGGAGGGAAGGGCAGGGTGTTAAGCACCTATGAACGACAGAAGTTGTGTCAATCAAGTGCAAGAATAGACATGCCTGCAAATTGGAAGCCAATAAAACTTTGAAGAATAGATGCAACAGGTTGCCCCCACTAAACAACAGGTAGCTGGAGTCTGTGTTGGCGTCCAAGGAGGACAATACAGTAAGCCAATCTAAAAGTGAAAGGCCTGGCTAATTGTGGCATGGTCTGCACTAGTGTGAGTGAAATGGTTGCTATTTTCTAGTCCAAATTTCACATTTAGGTTAAGCCCGTTACAATTACCCATTCTGGGTAGTTACATGCTTTAGGCAGGCAGGCCACCACACAAGTGCCTCAAATGGGGATTTAGTGCTTAACTTCAATAACTGGGCCCTAAGGTTGGGACCTCTAAAAGCATCTAAGGGACTTACGTGCACAAACGCCATTGACTTGCAGTGGGTCTTGTGCTGCTTTGAAAAATCCTACTTGTCAAAATTCACGTGTCTCTTTTTGCTCTATAAATCTAAATAAACCACCATGTTAGTGACATATCGGAAAATACCAGGAGTCATAAGCCACAGGCCACTAGATAATGCTGCTTCCTTTAGTAACTTCAATCAGGAAAGGGTTCTGTTTACAAATGCAGAACACTTAGCCTGAATGTCACCTTCATAGCAACGTACCAGCATTTCTCCTCAGCATTCCTGGGGTAGAAATATGTTAGCCCGCATAGG